GGGGGGGGGGAGGGACCTGGAAACTGACTGCTTTTCCTTATGAAATGTTTGGGAACCTCTGGATGGAAAGATGGATTTTCTACATGAAAACAGAACCTAGTATTTCAAAGCATCACATCGCATGTACTTTATTTCTCAGAGCCTTTTAGCCAAAGAGGACTATAAATGTACAAAATAACCTTTTTTTTTTAGTCTTCAAAGCTTTCTCTTGATGATGGAACTAATACCTGATCGCCCTGTTGTGTTTGTTCTTAATGCCAGAAACATTGTCCCAAGCGGAGCCTGGCCTCTCGCCTCAGTGGCTACATTCCACCAAAAGCAAAGCAAAGACATGGACTGGCAATGGATGAGACCTTGACTGCACAGAACAACCTGAAGAACAGCCTACCGGCTGTTGAAACACTGTGTCTGGACTAGGGTTGTAGATGAGCTTCATGCAGTTAAATGGCTTTAGGAAGTCACTTTTGGTAAGTTTGTAGTCTGTACAGAAAACTGAGTTTGCTTTGAAATGTTTCCACTTTGTGTAAAAAAAAAAAATCACTGAGAAGACATGATCCAGTAGTTTCCTATTTATTGTCCTTCTGAGTCCTTTTTGTCTTTTTCCATACGCTTATATGCCTGGAGTTCTTTCTCTGACATATGTCTGTATATGCATGCACATCTTCCTTCTTTAAGAACACGAGGTGGGGAAAGGTAAGTCGCTTTCTCAGGCATAGTCTCCAAAATCCGCCCAAAGAACTCTAGCTGAAAATGAGAAGAAACAATTTCAGCCTACTATTACTGCCTCCAAAGAGCCAAAGGTTGGTAGAAGGAATAGGACCGCTCTAATCAAATCACACATACTGCAAAAGAACATTTCCCAGTTTTAAGCAATCAGATGACTGACGTCTCAAGATACATTTAGACAGAAAGAATTAGGCATGGGAAAATGGGGCTGCACGAACCACAAGCCTCCACATCTATTGAACCAGTTTGTTTTGTGAGGTTCATGATGAAGTAGGCTAGGGATACCAAACTGACAGTGAGTCTCCAGCTGACTCTCCTTTATCTGCCCTCCAAGTCTGGTGAGGACCAATGTTCCCTCTCAGCTGTGGAGTCTTGTGAGCAAAAATTCTACTTTGTGAGCTCCTGGCATTAAGGTTGTGAGCAAGCAATGTGGCTACTGCATCAATTACTTTGCTCTGGAGCCATCCTTCCTTAGCTAAGACAAAAATGTGTGAGCTGGAGGCTAAAAAACTGTAAGCTAGCTCACACTAACTCAGCTTAGAGGGAACACTGGTGAGGACTGGATCTAGCTGCAGGTCCAGAAGTGTGTTGAATGCCCCCCCCCCGGTGCAAACTAGAGGCATCAAACTTGCAAAGGACCTCCCTGGGATGCCCCTCTACCTGCTCTCCAAGTTGTGTGCAGATTGGCTTGGGGGGTTGGGTCCAAAGTGCAAGGGGGGGTGCCCTACCACTGGAGGAGGGGGGAGTTCGAAAACTGAGCTGAGGGGCAGGTTCAGGATGGGCAGCTGATGAAGCTAAGCCTGGCAGGTGAGTGCCCAGAGACATGGAAGCTGAGGATCCTAGGGTCCAAAGTGTAGGGTGGGGGAAGTCTAGCGCAGGAGGGGGGGAGATGAGGTGGGGTGCCCCCAGAAAAGTGCTATTTGTAGAAATCACAGCTGCAGGTCCAGGAGTGTACAGAACGGAACCCCTGCAAGCCCGGGAGGTCTCTTATTGGCATCCAGTGCTGCCTGTCAAGCTCTGGAGGGCTACTATTGGTGTTTCCAGGGCTGCAGAAGTCCACCCCTCGCTGCTTTGACAAATAATTGACCAGTGCCAGCATGTCTGCCACACAAACCACCAACACGAACCGCACGAACCTCTGTGGAACTTATGGAGGGTCATGGAAGGTTTGTTGGGGGCATGATTGCACGACCCTCAGCTCATGAACCACGAACCGGGTGATTCTCGTGATGAATGTAGGTTCATGCCCATCTTTACGAAGGATCTTGCCGCATTAGCATTCCAGTCAACATTAACATTCCTCCCTAAGAGGTTCTTAGTCTGGAGTGACTATCTGATCAATGAGGTAACAGAGGCCACCATCCTTCTATCAGAGGTCTTTCCTTTATTTGGAAAAATTCAAAAAATCATGGCCCTCTTTCCTCTCCACCTGAGACTAATAAGGGTGCCTACCTGGTAGCTCAACTTGCCTTGCTCCCTAAGCCTAGAGAGAGAGAAATCTTCATATTTATATCTAAAACTGTTTAAAGCTGCCTTTTAGAACCCACTCCTTCAGTATGTAAGTTATACTGTTGGTGGGAGGGTTTTCTTCCTTATACTCAGACTATCCTGATGTGATTTTAGCCTGAACTGGAAAGTGAGGCATATTCACACAGACACATATAGGATATACGTGTCTCTCTGACCACATTGGCAACTTTGACTGTGAGTAACCACACAAAAGATCAGTTTGTTCTTTAAGCTTACCATCTTGTCCGGTTCACCAGTAACTTTCTTTTCCTGCACAATAACCTTGACGTGATGCCTCTTTTCAACCCACTGCTGAATTTGTTTGATCTTCATATCTAAATCGTGCTGTGCAATGGCTGTGGTAAAAGTTAATTCCTTCTGCTGAACAGCCCCTGCTTAAAATACAAAATAAGAGCCTGCATGTTCCATGTAGTCGCATCCAAACCCGGCGCCTTCATTGGCAAGCTGCTCAGCCAAGACTGTTCTCCTGCTTGCTCTTGAATCCACCCTTCTATCCTTGCATTCTTTCAAAGATGACTGTAGGTGAAAAGTGGGGATTCTGATCTAGCCTGAAGTCTTTTATAGCTTAATTGACATAGAATTGTACACTACACAAAAGGCCTTGGGGGGAAAAAGGTGGAGCCAAAAGTCTGCTGTGCTTTTCATTAGCAGTCTCATATATGAAGCAAACTCATTGCCACTCTTAATTTCCATCAACAAGCATATAGGACATTTACAGGAAGCTGCCTTGTACCAAATCAGACCATTGGTCCATCAAAGTCAGTATTGTCCCCTCAGATTGGGAGTGGCTCTCCAGGGTCTTCGGCAGAGGCCTTTCACATCACTTACTCCCTGGTCCTTTTTACTGGAGATGTGCCAGGGATTGAACCTAGGACCTTTTGAACGCAAAGCATGGACTTTGTGCCCTTCAAGAACTAGGTAACACTCCCATTTTCCTACTAATGCACCACTTATGCTAGCACGAGGACTGCAAGGGGAAGGCATGTGGCTTAGTGATAGAGTGCATGCTTTGCATTTGAAAAAGTGCCAGGTTCAGGCACCAGAACTTTGATGAAAAGATCTCCAGTACCAAGAGTCCAAGACCTTTCTCTGCCTGAAGACCTGGAGAGCTGCTGCCAGTCTTAACAGCAATACTTGAGCCAAGAGCAAAGGACCAAATGGACTAGACTGCTTTGATTACTGTGGAATGTTGTAAGGGGGGGGGGGAAATAAGAACATAAGAGAAGCCAGTGTTGGATTAGGCCAATGGCCCATCTAGTCCAACACTCTGTCACACAGTGGCCAAAAAATACCAGGTGCCATCAGGAGGTCCACCAGTGGGGCCACTCATATAGGTAGAATTGTGTTGCATAAGATGGGCAGAAAGCCAGGGTAAATGAGGCTTGCAGTTAAGAAACTCCTTGAGCTATCATCTTTGTGATTCCCTTTTGTAGCCTGTTATGAACGGGTTATGGTTATGCATTTACAAAAGAAGAGCTTGGTAAAAACTGCCTTCCATTGTAAATGTGAAAACACAACCCATTCACCTCTTTGAGAGGTTTTTAATAGCCACAATATGAATCTGCCCTTCGCTGAGACAGCTATCTGAATGCCAACAGCTTTCACAGTCATTAACACATGATTAGCACAGAGCTTCAAAAAACCCAAACAAATTCTTATTTGTATCTAATGAACACTCTTGAACAGTAAGAGGCATTCTTATGTACACAGACAGAACTGCTACTTCATCCCCAATACACTCGGGTGGATTCAGCCATCTTTTCCACTCAGACTCACCCAATTACTCTCCCTACGACCGCTCCCGTCCCACATGGCTTTTGTCCATGCTGGTCCCATGATCCCCAGCATAGGCATTTTTGGTGGTCAGCAGGGACCCCCCTTCCCCCCCCATTGTCAGCAAAACTAACTGGATACAACTTTTTAAATTGGGAACTCTGTCCAAGTGGAGAAAAGAGCGGGAGATTAGACACTAAGAATATCCCTTTCTCTACCAGTATATAAACGCTTGGTGCTATTTCAAAACTCTGTTACAGTAGTCGAGAGCAGGGACCCCCTATGGGACACCTTTCCTGGTGTTCACCAAGTGAGTGGGTAGGACCAGGTAGGGGTTCTTGCCCAGCAGGGCTTCTGACTGACCCCTGGAGATATTATATGGCTGTGGAGATTATTTTTTTTAATTGCTTCAGCAGTAATTTGCACCACAATGCAAGCATCTTCACTGTGTGACCGAAGGTAAGCTGTGTGAGTGCAAATTGTTTTGTTAAATATATTCCTTTTAAAAGGTAGCATGTTAAGCAGATCTTCTGCATGAAAGGTTGAAAAGTTACTATGGGAGTTATGCATGACCTCACTTCCTTAAATTTTGCAGTTGGCTCCACCTCCTGTGGCAGCCATTTTGTGGTTGCTCCCATCACGTGAGAATTCAAAAGAGCCCACAGGGTCAAAAATGTCGGGGATTGATATTGCAGAAGCATGCACCAGTGTACCCTGGTCACTACTATTAAGAAGGGGTGCTAACTTATGAATCAGATGTAAATGAAAAAGCAGGTCTAGCTATCTCCACAATTTGCTTCGCTGATAATAAAGTGGTTCGTAACACGATCCACTAAGGATAACTTCATTCCATCAAATAATGGCAGTTCAGTCATTTCCAAAATATTGGACTTCCTGACCAAGAAGACCTATAATGCAAATTTATATTCTGCCTTTATCAAAATTTTGTACCAAGAACTGTCAAATTCAGCCTAAAATATGTATGTTTACATTTATGCTTATATGTCTTAGGCGTGTTATTAAGCCCTACTCCTGACCACTTAGCCATTTTCTGCAATTGTCAATTTAAGCATATGGTAGGCTTGCCAAGTCCCCCCAGGGGGCGGGGAAAACCCCGCCCCAGAGGCCCGTTCTCCACAACCGGCGGATCGGGCCCAGGGGGAACCCCACCCCCGAAGCATGCGATGTGCACGTCACCCGGAAGTGACGCGACCACGCCAGGCATGCTGGAGGCGGGGCCACAGTCATTCGAGGGAAAATTCTATGGTTTCCCCTCGGATGATCGTGGCCTCGCCCCAGCGTGCCCGGCGTGGTCGCATCACTTCTGGGTGATGGGGTTGCGGCGCACGCTTTGCGCCACACACACTCCCAAAGCAGCGCTGGAGTCCCCCGCTCCAGCGCTGCTTCTGACTTGGCAACCCTAGCATATGGTCTTAAGAGCTAGAACGTAAACAGCAACAAAAACAACAACCCATGGCTCTCAGGTGATTAGTTCTGTGCTCATGTGGAATCATGGAATGTATGCAGACCTGCAGATTTATATGCTGTTGGTCTGGCTGGTATATCAGATGGTCCATTCATAAGAACAAACAGATCTACAGGCATGTACTTAAGCAACCTGCCTTGTAAGTAACACAAGCTCTTTTTTGTCATAATTGCCAGCTGAGAATAAAGTACCGGCCATTTTAGTTGACAATCAAGAGAGGAATGCAGCCCAATCAATATTTGGAAGAACAGCTGTCAGAACCAAAGCCTATTTAACAAGTGCCATGCATACCCTTTTTGGAGCTTGCTCTCTGCTTGTCTCTGAGTTTGAGGCGCTCTTCATGAATCTGCTGACCGCTCATTAGTGTGTAAACTGGAGGGTCTGCTGTCTCCTTCAGCAGTACAAGCTTCAACTCCTTTTCCTCCATCATTTTAATCGCATCTGCTCTGTGTATTTCTCCCAGATCCTCTCCATTCTCATCAATCAGGTGAATAATTCGATGAGGGATTTTTCTCCCAACACTTCCAATGTTTTTTCTGGCAGAGGAGCTGATTTTCTTTCCTTTTTCCTTTTCCTCAGCATCTTCATATGTACAAAACGTTTTTGTAAGGACAGAGAGAAATCCTCTTTTAGACTGCTCCAGTTCTACCCAGGTGTGAGAGATCATTGTGGTGCACGCTGGTTGTGCCCCCAAAGTGGCAAAACATCTAGTGATGAAATTAGCATCATTCCTTATGGCCTGACCAATTAGTTTCTTTAGACAAAAAGCAGTCATTATGGAGAAAGGGTGGGGGAAAAACCCCACTCCAGATACCTAAAAGTGAAGAGAGAACAATGGGGTTAATAAGGCATTCAGTTTAAGACTATATCTTTAATTCTCAGATTATTGTTTCCTCTATGTTAGATATAGGATTGAGTACTTAATTTTAGAAATATATGTAAAGGGATAATAAGACTTGTGTGACATGATTTATATATATAAAGCTTTCAAGAAAGAAGTCCTTTCAAATTTCTACTTTGCTTGGGGTGGAAAAGCTGGGACCAAATACTTTCCTGAAGGTTCCTTAGATGATCAAATTGGTCCTGCTAAGAAAAAAAAGATGTTCTGGACATGAACATAAATTACTAGAAACAACACAACAAGAGATGTGCACCATGGTAACATACGGAGATGGTTACATCCCTTGTGAAAAGCAACATGAGATGAGAATGAATGAGGCCCGGTAAAAACTACTACATAGAAGCACAATACTGTATACTTCCATCGTAATGTCAATACAAATTAGCTGCATAAACAAGACTTGAGGCAAGTGCTAAAGGCACTTCAAACTAGCAACTTCTGTCTCAACCCAGGTGGGATTCAACAACTTGCACTGACGCATAGGTATAACAACAATAAATTTAATGTGGTAAGTAAACAGGGAAGCTTATTCATTAGGAATATGGAGAGTGGGGTCTGTGACAGGCGTTTTGACCACATGGTGACTTCCCTGCCTTGTGCGAAGGGTGTAGACATCACACAATGTCTAGATAGGTTGATAAGACAGTGCTGGGGAGGAGTCAGAAGTCATGGTGCACATTGGCACCAATGTCATTGGAAAATGTCATGTCCTAGAGGAAAAAATTAGGTTACCAGGCAGAAAGTTAAAGGCCAGGACCTCAAAAGTACCATTCTCAGAAGTGCTGCCGGTTCCACAGGCAGGGCCAGCTAGGAAGGCACACATCAGGGGTCTCAATGCATGGATGAGAAAGTGGTGCCAGGAGGAAGGGTTTAGATTTGTTAGGCATTGGGGAACTTTCTAGGTCAAGCCGAACCTGTAAAAAAAAGATTGGCTTCACTTGAACCAAAAGGGAACAGGGCTGCTGGTATCAAAAAGATGACAGAGCAGTTTTTAAACTAATCCTGGGGGGAAAGCTGACAGCAGCTGGGGAGCCTCCGGTTCGGGACAAGTCAGTCCAAAGGGATGTTTGTGTAAACATTTAGGGTAATATTGATAGGAGCGTAATAGAACTTGGGGGTAAGGGCATGATGGTGACTGAGGGCCATGTGTAGCAACTAAGGGGCTAAGGG